CGCATTGAAGAAGGTCCTCGTCCCTGTTGGTAAAAAACTTGACTAGCTCATTTTCACTAGCCTCTCTTGAGGCCAGTTTTGTACCATCAAGAAAATTTTGCAAATGCTTGAAAAGGTGATAATCGCTTGGTGCCAATTCTGGACTATACGACGGGTGCAATAAAACCTTCCATCCAAGCTCTCGGAGTTTCTGGCGCGTCGTTAATGATGTGTGCGGCCTGGCGTTGTCTTGATGGAACACAACACTCTTCCTATTGGCCAATTCTGGCCGCTTCTGGTCGATCGCCTGCTTCAATCTGGTCAGTTGTTGACAGTAGAGGTCCGAATTGAGTGTTTGGCCCGATGGGAGCAGCTCATAGTGGATGATTCCTTTCCAATCCCACCAAACACACAGCAAAACCTTCTTGGCCGTTAATCCGGGCTTGGCGATCGTTTGGGCCGGCTCACCGCGATTGGACCACGATCTTTTTCGGCTGTTGTTCTCGTATGTGACCCATTTTTCATCACCAGTCACCATCCGCTTCAAAAATGGGTCGATTTCGTTACGTTTCAGCAAAGAATCGCAGGCATCAATTCGGTCCAAAAGGTTCTTTTGCGTCAATTCGTGTGGCACCCATACATCGAGCTTCTTCTTGAGACCAGCCTTATGCAAATGGTTCCAAACGGTTTTCTGGCTAATCTTCAGTTCCTGGGCAATGGAATAAGTGCTCACATGCCGGTCCGACTCGACGATTTCCATGATTTTATCGACATTTTCGACGATTGGCCTACCAGAGCGTGCCTCATCTTCGACGTCCATATTACCAGAACGGAATCGTTGGAACCACCGCTTTGCTGTTGCATTCGATACTGTATTGGGTCCATAAACAGCACAAATTTTTTTGGCCGCCTGCTTCGCCTTTTCACCTTGGTCGTAGTGGTACTGAAGAATGTATCGAATTTTCTCTTTTTTTACCTCCATTTTGGAACGCTGTAACACACAACTGGCTTGACCAAACACAAAACTGTCACAGATCTTTTTTTGAAGCGTAATGTCACCTTTAAATCGCCGTATAGTATGACCCGATGCGATGTATACATCGTGAGACATGGCTCACTAAAGACATCTAGCGGAAAACGCTCAGAACTTTTTACTTCACCTAATATATATATATGTGTGTGTGTGTGTGTGTTGTGACATGGCAGTTTCTCCGTCACAAAATTAGCCGCAAATTGTGACGGAGGACGAGGAGAACCATATTCGTGCCCCCTTCTCCCGCAGGAAGGGCGGCAGCGTAGAATTGGTCTCGCACGCTTTTTGCGTACGAGATCGCGCGTCTTACATTTTCTTCGAGTGCGATAAGTCACCTGTGAACAAGGGACGAGCGACGGCGGACCGGGAGCTAGCGACGAATCAGACGGGGCAGGATCCACCTTTCGCTAACATAAGCGAAGGGGCCCCCAGATAACTAAGACGCGGATCGCGGGAACAAGCTGGACCTTGCGGAATAAATCCCGGGGGACGCCCTGGGACCAAGAGATCTTCCGGCAGCCACGTATGCGATCGCAGAGGTTCAGAATACCGTCGAGCATCGACGTCCGTCGGCGAGACTCTAGAAAATTCGACTGTGTCACGCGGGCCCTGTAAGGCGCCCGCGTTAGAGCCGTGTGCTCTCGAAGGATCAATGGGACTGGCTATCGACGGCGAAGATCGCGAGACGAAGGAGCTTCGCGCTCGCGAAAAGCTCGTCACTGTGCGGTGTAACGCGAGCGAAGCAAGGCGAGTACCGCGAGCGAGGCGCATAACTGAGTGAGCGAGAGAAAGGGTGCGGCGAGTGAGACGAGGGAGGAGACGAGAGAACGAGCGAACGAGCAAGCCTCCAGATCGAGAATCACCCAGCATCGAGGGCGCGAGCACGGCGCGGGATTTTAATGAGCAGACCACAGCTCGGTGAACGTTCAGCCTAAGCCGTAAATCGAGATCGGAACAGCTGCCATCCCGACGGCCGTCGGAAAGGTTCCTCGTCGCGTTTCGAAGAGTAAGACGTGATTACCGCCGCAGGCGAAAGCCAGCGGGTTTCGCGAACTGGTGACCGTCCTTCTCGCGTTACCTGCCGCTCAATTATCGTGTCTCGCGACCACACAGTACAGCGAGCGAATGGCGTTAATAGTTATAGGAATCACTCGATTGTAGTCGCGAGTGCGGGTCTCCGAGAAAGAAGACGAAAGAAATACCGCGTTCGTCAGTTCCGCCGAGCGTCGGGAGAGCAGGTGTCGTCGACTCGAGGCACGCGGAACTTCTGCCGCCGTCGCGAGGCGGAGTGCTAAAAATCGGCTCTCGCGTCGAAGCTATCGCCCCCGAACGACCGCGAAATGGTAATTAAGGCCGGGAGGCGCCCACTAGTGTGAATAAAGTCTTAAAGAGACGACGTAGCTGAGTTAGCCTTGTATCGCGAGAAGCTTCACGAGGTAGACGGATTCTCGACTATGGATCCGGCTGCCGATCGATTCCGCAAATAGCTAGATTCGGAGCCCCGCATCGTTTTTGCTAAATAGAGTATTGAATGTTGCGAAGTATGTTGTAAATTATTTCTTGTTCCCCTGATTCCTTCGCCTTCTCCTCACGTGTCGCGCGAAGAGACTTCGCGCCTCGGAATAAGAACCACACTACTATATCTTGTCAGATTTTTTTAGAGCTGCCGGCGGACTTGGCCGTCGCCGCTTTAGCGGAGATGAAGTTTTGGCCCTGTTCTTCTCGCTAGGAGAATCGCGGTCACAGTGTATATATATAATAAAAATAAATATAGAATTTCAAAAAATAAATATAGAAATCAATAAAACGCTGAACATTAGAATCCTTTGTGTTGCTGCTTGTAATCTATCCAGCAAAATCGTACCTTCCTTGTATCTATGCTTCAATAAATATATCAAAAATAAAACAGCAATAATATATAGTGTTCCAAAGAAGCTGGATCTCTATCGCAATAAATCAAGGAGATCACCGGATGAATAAAAAGAAGGAAAGTTACGTGTCGACGTTATAAAACTATTAACAAATTGAGATCAATATAATTAAAGAAACAAGTAAGTGTGGGAAAATGTTCGAAGCAAGTCTATTGTTAGGTTGAGAAAGTTTAAGTAAATTACTTCGTTCATTGTGTTTTGTGAAAATTAAAGTACATTAATCTTTTCCGATAATAAGAAATAATTTTGTAAAAACAATAGTGAGTTACTTATTTGTACATCTGATACATTAAATTGTAAACAGAAAATTTAATTAACATAATTTCAAAAATTATTGTTTTTTTAGACGGTTAAAAAGATAAATGTTTTTTTTTATTCTAGTGAATATAGTAATGAAGAAACAAAAAAGTGTCAATTAACCTCCATTGATGCCAGCCCTTATAATACGTTGATTAGCAGAATGTTCTTCCAATAACTTAACGACTGCATCATGACCACTTTTAGCGGCTACTTTAATAGCACTTCGTCCGCAGTGATCAGAATGACTTGGATCAGCTCCATAGTTTAAAAGTGCCCGGACGCAATGCTCGTGCCCTTCCTGAGCGGCAATACCTAAAAATTTAGTTTCTATTAACATTTTCATAACCACAATATATGTTATAGCTACTATATTATAAAAATAAATATTGAATTATATGAGTCATTTTATATAGTAGATCCAAATTTAATAGAAGCAGTCGTATTAGCGTGATTTAAAACAACTTCTAGTCCTTGTGAAATGACACTTTTAAAAATTCTGATTTTTCCTCTTGAAAAATGTTATCCGAAGCTTAGTTTTTGAGTTAAAAAATATGTAGTTTACTTATTACGAGTCAGATTTAGAAGGAAGGTAGAAGCGACACAACTCATCATCAGACGCAGATACTGATGTAGAACGTCTGGTGCAATCCATTGATCGATATATATAATACACTCATATACATTATTTTTATAACTTTTGTTAATGTTCATACGTAACAGAAAGTAACATGTTTTAAATTAGTAGAGTACGATTATGATTAGAAAAAGAAATAAGAACTCGCAAACGAAGATATCAATCAAAAAATAGGAAAAAGGGCAATTCGAGTTCAAGCACAGGACTAATAGTGCTATATATCATATGGGTAAAAAACCTTCCTTGTGTTAGGAAATCGTGTAATATTTATTGAACATGAATAATCAATATAAAACAATCATACGTTTCGGCTCAACCATGAACCCTCTTCAGTGATAATAAAAAACTCAAGGTTTACGACACGAACGCATTACAATTAGTTAAAGACCTGCGTAACTTGATATGAATGTTAATCGCAATATTAAAGCTGACAAGACCGTTACCGAAATAATATTAAGTAATTAATTAATATTGAGAACCCTTATTGAAATATCATACTAAAAATCATTGATAATTACTTATTTTCAATATTAAAAATACTGGATAATAAGTAATTATCAATGATTCTTAGTATGATATTTCTATAAAGGAAGTAGCCGTCATAACTATAAAAATATCATAAAATCATAAAATAAAATAAAAAAATAAGTAAAATTGAAATATAATAAATAATTAAAACTGACAATATAAAATACCTTTGTTGAGTTCAGCTAAAAGTAAACCGATCCTGTCAACGATAACATCGCCACATCTACGAAATACAAATAATTACAGATTTATATACCTAGCATTAACATTGCGGAAACGACTTGTGGAAGAGAAGGAAACCAAAACAAAGTTTATTTTCATAACAAGCCGCAGTAGCTGGTGCCCAAATATTCAGTATCCTTTTGTGAGTTAAGACCATGCTTCTGAAATTTGATGAAAAGAGATCAGGCGTTTCAAGTAAAAGCGTCCCTCATGTAAAACTTTGGTATGATCCCAATCAAA